GCACCGTAAGGATGCAATCAAGACTGAAGCAGAGATAGTGTCTGCAGGCAGCTGAATAACATGTGGCATTATTTTGCCATGCGCGGACGCTGCGCGCGCTAGAAATCAAGGCCAAAACGCTGAGACAAGCCGAAGAAGTATCAAACATGTGAAGGCCAGAGTCGCAGAGTCCATACAACTGAGCGGAGTGTGTTGCCAGCAAGCCTTTCGCGCAACTGGAGCCAGGAACGGCTCACGGTGAATGCAGTAGGCCTGCGGGAATACACATCGGGTGAATATAGACCAACTCAGACCCAACATCTCCCATCATCATCCCGACACTCTGTCACCATCACCTGAAGCCTGGAAAGCCCTGAGCCCTAAAGCCTAAACCCTAAACTCTAAACCCTAAACCCTGAACCCTAAACCCTAAACCCTAAACCCCACATTCTACACCTTCTGCTAAGTCCTATTTCTCAAATCCGTGAGCCTGGATGCAGCTGCAATGCGACGACTGCTCGGGCAGTACAGGGAATCAGAGACCCAAGGAGTCCTATGTGGGCGACACTTGCCCAAACCATAGTAGTAGTTCCTGCTATAGAAACCCTACTTTCTACTTGGGACCCCCTAAACCCTAAACCCTAGACCCTAAACCCTAAACCCTAAACCCTAGACCCTACTTTCTACTATGAGGGTACTTAGGACCCTTTGGGAGCAGGACAGTGTTTCACCGCTGCATGCGGCCGTAGTGACATAGTGAGGCACGCGGCGGGAGTTGGCTTTACTTAGTTTGTTTGGGGTTTAGGGTTTAGGGTTTAGGGTTTAGGGTTTAGGGTTTAGGGTTTAGGGTTTAGGGTTTAGGGTTTAGGGTTAGGGTTTAGGGATGCAGGCTTGTCATGATGGAATGGTACTGGACATACAGTGACTGGATTTTCTGCTTGGCGCACGCCAGATGTCGCGATAGACTCATCGTGCCTTGTTGCGCAAGTCAACGGGAACAAAGCAAATGTGACCCCAACCTGCACCGCAGCATGGCTTGCCTGAACTATGTCCCCCTTGGGAATTATTTTTTTGCTTAATTACATAGAACCCAAGAGGATATTAAACATTTTGTTTTTAAGGTTCTTAGGGGAGTATAGTCAAGAGTTTCTGTCCAGCAGCTGTACATTCCGCAATATGTGGCGGCTTGGATTCGCACTGCGCACCGTATTTTGCAGGGATCTAGACGTATCGAGACACTTGGAGTCATACTGTCATGCAGCCGACCAAGTACCCTCATAGTAGCAAGTAGGGTTTCTATACCCGGAATTGCTACTATGGTTTGGGTAAGTGTCCCCCATATAGGTACTTAGGACCCTTGGGGTCTACTTCAACTTGTCTTTGCCAACGCTCTCTTGTCAAGCTCACAGAGGCCCCTAAACCTAAACTGACCCCGAAGCCAGATCTTCAGGATCTCAAGGAGCAAAGATGTCCTTAGACCCTTGAACCCCCAGACCCTTTTGATTGGGATGTTCCCCCCTTCTTCTAGCAGTCCTTAATAGGGATCATAGTACCCCCTATTGCAATCCCCATTTGGACCCGAAAATCCCTTAAGCCCCTATACCCTAAACCCTAAACCTCGAATGTTTGAGGCCCCCGTCGAAACCCGAACCCCGGGATGAAAAAGGGTTCATACTGTTCGAAGCCACGGGCGGAAGCCTTTTTTTTGAAAGTTTATTTTTTCGATGCAAATCCTGAGTCTTGCTCTCCAAAGCCCTTTCTCGAAGAGAATTATATATATATATATATATGTAGTTGTTCTTATTCTTCTTGTATTTATATATATATATACATATATATATCTACATATGTTATATACATACATATTTAAATATAAATATAATTATAAATATAAATATAAATATATATGTATGTATATGTATATATACATATATATATATATATATACATATACATATATGTATATATATATATATATATATGTTTTTTGGGGGGTGTTATCCCCTTTTTGTTTATATATGGTAGCCCCATTGTTTTCTTGATTCTTTATGTGCTTGCTTTTCATATTTACATGTGTTCACATTTATTTGTTTGGTTATTAATTCTATTTCTGTTTGTATTTACGGGGCTTATTTTGTAGGGTTTGGGAGTCACTGGTGAACCTGAAACAGGCTGTTCCAGTGCCAGACCAACTGCCACCAGCGCTTGAGGCCGATATGTTCGGGGTTCCAAGCCCTAAGCCCTCAACCCCCTGAACCCCCGAATCAAACCCCCCTAAACTTGCCCTAAACCCCCTGAACCCGCTGAACCCCTTAATTAGCCCGTAAACCCACTGGAGCAAGAGAGGAAAGAGCGGCAGTGTTGATGAGTTTTGAGTGGCATTTGTTTTGGCGTTTAGGGTTTAGGGTTGGGATGTTCCCCCTTATGCTAACAGTCCTGAATTGGGACTATAATAAGGGGTACTACAATGCCAATTAAGGGCTGTTGAGGGTAAGGGCGAACATCCCAAATTCAGGGTTTAGTTTCGGCGTCATGTTCGGATGCCTCATTTCAGGGCTTCAGTTCACGAGGTTCTCATGTTTCTGCAAGTATTGCGGCAACTTGTTTAGGGTTTAGGGTTTAGGGTTTAGGGTTTAGGGTTTAGGGTGGGACACCGAAGCTGCACGAACAACAGCGGTCATGCAGGGAGTCGGAGTGGCGATTCGCACGTCAACCTTTTTTGCTTTTAAGTCATACGGCGCCCTTCAGAGCCTTGACCAGACTCGCCCTAAGCGCCCGAAGATCCGCGTGTCGAGAACAACGGAGCGAGGTAGAAAGCCCATTACGATGCCATGTCATGCCTCAGCTTGTCCCAGAACTTCCTAGAAGGCGACAGCAGGCAGCACAAGAGGAGCATAGAGCAACGCAGTAACTGTAGAGACTCCCAAACAGATCCCTGCAGCTTGAGGCGGTTTTGGAGTTCACGTGGGCGGTGAAGCCGGAGGACCTGCGGAGAAGAGAGAATAAAGAATCTGTATACAGAAGAGAGAGCGAGCGAGAGAGATGCCTTCACGCCACGCTTCTACTTGACGGAAAAAGGTCAGCAACGCCACAGGTCTAGTTTCGACCCCCAAGAAGCCAGCCTCGGGGGCTGAGCATCTCCGATGAGGAGATGGCCCAGTATTTCGAGACCTTTCAGGAGCTGGACTCCCATGGGACAGGCGGGTCGAAAGCTCCCGTAATCTGTATCTGCAATTTTCTGCCATTAAGTGGGAAGGCCCTGGAAGGCTTTAAGTTGTGAAAGTGTTGCTTTGGCAGCGCAGCAGAGCGCGCAAGCCTTGTGTGTGTGTGCCTGTGTGCGAGGGCCTCTCGCGCCGGCAAGCTCTCAAACAAGCTGCGCTTTAAAGCCAGACCACCCGTTGCCGCTCTTCATCTCGTTTCCACAAACGCAAACTTGCACACATGCCCGCTGACGTAAAGGCACGAACGCCTGAGCCGCACCTTCTTCTTGCCCCATTTTGGGTAGAATTGGTTCATGTGGTCATGTGGTGCTCAGATTTACCAACATGCCTTAGCTCAGCATCAACAGAAGGATGCCATGGGCCTGCCACGAAGTGCAGAGACTCTCGATGCCCCGCCTGGGCGAGGGAACTCAGACTCAGACGAAGCGGAGATGGCGCCTGTGGAAGTGGCAGAAGCCGAAGAGTCGGAGAACCCTAATCCCTAAACCCTACCTTAACCAAGCCCCAAGCCCTAAGCCTAACCCTAACCCTAAACCCGAAACGGGGCAGGAACGGTGCGTTAGGGCTCTCTGGTACTTGAGGCGCCCCCATTGTGAGAGGTGGCACCCCCAAGTCATCGCCTACACCCCTGAAGCAGGCTTTCGGATTTACTGTAGGTTTAGGGTCGAGGGTTTATAGGGTTTAGGGTTTGTAGGGTTTAGGGTTTAGGGTTTAGGGTTTGGGGTTTGGGGTTTGGGGTTTGGGGTTTGGGGTTTGGGGTTTGGGGTTTGGGGTTGACACGGACTTGAAGTCAATGCGATCAATATAAGTGAGACGGCTGATGCTTTAATCAGCATGTGTGGCATATCATGCTTCCAGTTTGGTGATGATGTCGTTCAATTTTGCACACAGCTTGAGTGTATGGGCAGCAGGGAGCATTGAGGCTCCATGTTGCCCATGCTTCCTATGCTTGGGCTGCTTCAGGGGTGGAGTCTGGGCGATTTCTCGGCAGCGCAACTCTTCTGAGCTGAACAAGACTTGATATGGGTATTTCCCAAGATCGGGGTACCCCTTTTATACCCCAAATAGAACACCCTTAAAGGGACACCCCCAAAACAAGGTACCCCTATCTTCGGAACCCCCCCCCATATTGGCTCCCTTATGTGGTCAAACAGTCGTGCATGTTCAGATCATGAGGTTCAATTCGAGCACAACGTGCCTTTCGCACTCCTTCAACTCATGTCTCATTGCATGTCAAGTGTTCATTTTAAGTGTAGCTCGTCTAGCAAGCGATTGAAACCTTTGGAAAACCTGTCGTAATTATTAATTATCCATGGCCCTATAGCGCCACATCAGATTAAGGCCATCTACATCCACAATGAAGTCCGTAGGACCACGCACTTGGTACTCGCCTCGCGCAGAGTCGCCTTGCCTTCCTTAGCTGAATTTTCCAGTGCGCAGGCATTGTCGGAGCCGCCGAGGGGCCTGCACCTCAGAGCATGCAGGGCTTGCTCCTCGGTATCAAAGGACCCGACCGATCTTGAACACAACCCTGAACCCTACACCCCGAACCCTAAGCCCTACACCCTAACCCCTAAACCCCAGACCTTTTGCTGGGTGGACATGGTTGAACCCTGTACACCTTCGGGTTCCCAAGTCCCGCAATTTCGTAAATTCCCCCTTGCCTCAGCTGCTCTGCAGGATTCAAGTGAAGCCTTCAGCTTCTCTTTATAGCCTTGCATCCCGGAACCAACTCTGACCTGCCTCGGCTCAAACAGCTTTGTTTTGCACTCTTGCTCGGGCTTTGGGGGTTTGTGGGCCATGGGGGCACAGCGCCCAGGATCGCAAAGAGGGAGGGTCTTGACCGTCATGCTGCAATATAGGGGTCGGAGTAGTTATGAATACTATTCCCGTAGGGTCGCTTTATAAGTCTACTACGATAGCCCCCGAAAACCCTATCCCAAGTTGATTAAGGCCCCTAGAGAACACATGCAGATCTTTCACGAAGCATGTCCCTGTCCTTAGAATCGCCTTGCATAAGGCTTTGAAGTTTTTTGCTGTTAGGCAACATGTTACGCGAGGTGCGCTACACCGAGCCCGACGACCCCGACGGAGTTTCAGTTTCAGAAGACTCCTTCCATCCCTGCTTTTCTCGACATCGAACTCCACGACGAAGGCCATTCGTCAGAAGTGAAACGGAGGGCTTTTGAGTCATTGCTTGCTTACTTGTTATGTTTAGCTCACCGCACGGCCTTGAGGGCAGGGTATCCGCGCAAGCTGCGCAAGCTGCGATCACACGGACGCAGTCACTCGGGGCATGTTGCGCCCCTGCTCCGAAACTGACATCGTTTTCAGCATCTCATAGTAGCTTCGTTCTTGGCTTGACGGCGTAAACATGGCCACCAACGGCTCATCCCTACAGCAACAATCAGCACCGCAGACAAGAGAGGCCGCGCACACACACACACACACACCATAACAGATTTGTGGCAGGTGTGGCGGTAGCCACGCTGCCAGGCTTCAAGACTGCCGTTCAGAACTCTTTGCCGGTTTTAGTTCTTGTGGATATGGCGAGAGCCGTGAGAAGTTTCGACATCCGATCCCTAGAGGGGCCCCCATACGTAGCACCATGCACCATGCAAGGCACGGAGTTCACCGGGGAAATTGGTGACGAGACACCATCGCCCTTTGCGTCGTGCTCCCTTTGCTCTTGACTGTCTTGACCTCTCCGGCGTCCATTTGGGTTTTTGGAAGAGGTTGCTTGCAGTATGGCTCCGCCTGGCTGGGGAGGTTTGTATCGGGATCAACTTAAACGGACAGCGCGCTTGCTTCGTTTGTTGCCAGAGCTGTAGTGTGACGGGGCGTGTCCGGGAGAGTTACATCCGCACATCTTAGGACCCTCCCTACGTGCCTTTCTTATAACCTTGCCCCAAGCTTTCCGTAGTTTAAGAGAATTGATCCCTCAGGGTCCATGTTCCTATATAGCATTGTACTTGGGCCTTAAAGGGGTTCCCATAGTAGCTTTTGGGCCCAAGTATATACTATATGGGTACATGGACCCTTAAGGGGAACCTCTTTCCAACCTAAACCCTAAACCCTAACCCCTAACCCCTAAACCCTAAACCCTAAACCCTAAACCTCTTTCCCCCGGTCCACTGTCCGGCCTTTGCCTTAAATCTGCCGTGAAGGTACGCAAGCGAGGTTGACCGGTCCGAGGAGGTGGAGGCACTGATGGCATCAGGATACCCCTAAACCCTAAACCCTAAACCCTAAACCCTAAACCCTAAACCCTAAACCCAGGCTCTGATGGCGTCAGGATACCCTCGACTAGGTAGGCCCTTATGGGACATTTTATGCTTTCCCTTATTGGGTTTAAGAGGATCTTCTTTAGGATTATTTTTCAAAGGATTTAAGGGTCCATCTTAGTCGAGGTTTTCGTAACAAGAGTTTCAGTTTTCAAGCCGCAGGGTGCCATGTCAGCCTGATTTCTGGGGCCTTCCAGGAGGCTCAACCCCTCAACGCCCTAAACCCGCCAAAACCCCCAAACACCCCTAAATCCCCCCAAACCTCTAAAATCCCCAAACCTCTAAACTCCCCTAGACTTCCCCAAACACCCCTAAATCCCCTAACCCCCCCCCCTAAATCCCCAAGAACCCTTAAATCGGAAGCAGGGCCAGCGAGGCGGCCTCTGGAAGAGCGCTTGCCTTTAGGGTTTAGGGTTTGGGGTTTAGGATTTAGGGTTTAGGGTTTAGGGTTTAGGGTTTAGGGTTTTAGGGTTTAGGGTTTAGGGTTTAGGGTTTAGGGTTTAGGGTTTAGGGTTTGGGGGGGTGTTTAGCCGGCGTTGGCGCCTGGGCCTCCGGAAGTGAACTCCTGAATGGGATTTAGGGTTTTGAAGGGGGGGTTTAGGGTTTAGGGTTTAGGGTTTAGGGTTTAGGGTTTAGGGTTTAGGGTTTAGGGTTTAGGGTTTAGGGCAAAAGATAGGGCAAGTTTTCCCTGGCAATCCTCAGTACACTCCGAGCCCTCACACCACTTTCGGAGAGGCTGTGACCCCGCGCATGGCGGCCTGCGGACTCCCACCGGCCACAGGGCTGAAGGAGGAGGACAAGCAGCACCTGACTCGCGACATGTCTCCCGTTGTTTGGGGTTTAGGGTTTAGGGTTCAGAGTTTAGGGTTTAGGGCTTAGGGCTTAGGGCTTAGGGCTTAGGGCTTAGGGCTTAGGTTTAGGGCTTAGGGTGTAGGGTTTAGGGCTGCTGCGAAGCCGCTTGGAGGACATCCGTCAAACTCTGCAGACGACCTTGGCAGATCGAGGGATGGTGCTGACGCCAAGGGACGTGGCCATTCAGGAGGCTGACATTACGGGTTTAGGGTTTAGGGTTTAGGGTTTAGGGTTGTTAAGGGTTCATTGGGGGGTAGGTACGTAGGGAACCTTATAGGGAAGCTTAGGGAGCTAGGGAGTAATTCTGGGAACCTTGGGTTACTCCCTTAAGAACCGCATAATGACAAGGGTGCCCAGCAAACTCGGTAGCCCAGTGGTGCCCACTTGACCCCTTTTTGTTTTTTTCGTTACGGGGGTTTCCTTATAAAGTAACCGACCCCCCCCCCCCCCCAAAAAAAGGTGCCCTGCTTCTCATGTGGTTACTGCGCAAAAATGAGTGCTCTTGGGTCCCAACAGGGCGAGCTGGTCGTGCGTTGAGATCCGGAGGTACTCTGTACAACCAGCAAGAGTACGATTTGCGCAGCCGATTGGAAGGGACAGATGGCCGAGCCCTTACCTCATGTGAATGTAGGTGTCCCTTCTTCAGGTTTAGGGTTTAGGGTTTAGGTTTTAGGGTTTAGGGTTTAGGGTTTAGGGTTTAGGGTTGTTTAATGCTCTTCCTGGGGCTGGCCGATGTGGGGTCAGCGGTAGGTGATGCAGCGAACGAAGAGAGGGCTTTGATATGTTGGGAGTTTTCTGGGTGGGCCTCCGGTATCCGCACTTTCGTAGGTGGTTTGCCTGAGTCCTTGGGCCAACCTTTGCTAAAGTAAGCTAGGGCCAGCAAGGAAACTTGCGCAGATGGCCTGGTCAGGAAGTCAGCACCAAAGAAACTAAACACACGTTAAGCAACCTTAATTTAGATACGCACAACCTACTATATAGCACTATAAGAGCTCAGGAGCTGGAGGACTGAAGGCTGCTCTCGAAACCCTGAATCTGTAACTTGCAAAGTCCCCTAAGACCCCTCATTAGAGCCCCATGGAAAGCCCGCGCCGGCCTCTTCGGAGCTTCGTAGCTTGCAAAGCTCCTCCCAGGTCGTCATCAAGCGCATCAAGCATGGCCTGGACCTGCAAGACAAGCAGGCGAAGCTGACCCACGCGATGTCCTTGAAGGACTGGCCCAGCAGCTCGCAAGCCCTTGTAGATGGCTTCAATCTCGCATGTAGGGTTCTTGCGTGGAAGGCGTTTGTCAGGAGAGCCCATATGCGAAGCAAAGCAAAGCAAAGCGATGCAAATCAAAGCACGGCAACGCAAAGCATTGCAAAGTGGCCGGCAAGGAGATGATGCAGGAGCTGCAGATCTTGATGGCTCTGGACCACCCCTGCGCCTTGGAAGACATTTCTTGGACATGACGATACCAAGGTCACAATCCCCAGCCGGAGGAGACATGCCAAACGATCGATTGGACAACAGAACCCATGGAAAGTTGTCAACTCCATGCTCAGCTACAGTAGAGGCCCTAAACTGTAAACCCTAAGCCCTAAGCCCTAAACCCTAAGCCCTAAAAGGCCAATTGAGTGATGATAAAAACCCCCGGTATTGACAAGTAAAGGGAAGCGCTCCGAAATGATCAGATGTGCGTTTTGCTCGGAAACGCGATTTGAGTAAAAGAACGATGACGTTCAGGACAATGCGAAAACGCGAGAAAACGATAAGAGTAAACAAGAACACGTAATTCAGGGATATCTTCCGGGATAGGGGGTTATTTTAGGCCCTAAACCCTAAATCTTAAACCCTAAACCCTAAACTGAAAAAGGCCAGTTGTCTCACATGCAAAGGTGTGGTCCGGCTTCTTGGAGCGAACCTCTCCCCGGACCAGGAGTTATAGATACGCGGTTAAGGTTAGGTTTAGGCTTTAGGCTTTAGGCTTTAGGCTTTAGGCTTTAGGCTTTAGGCTTTAGGCTTTAGGCTTTAGGCTTTAGGGTTTAGGGTTTAGGGTTTAGGGTTCCGATGAAGCCTCATGCCTCCTACCGACTTTGCACATGTGACGTTTAGTCATTTTATGCGAGTGGTTTGGCACTGTCTACTTTCACAAGTTCGGTTCAGGGTACAACCGGGTACAACTCGTCTGGGTCTACTTTGCAATACAGGCAAGATTCTCAACGCTTTGAGGCTCATGTTTCAGTCGCACCACTTGAGGTTCAAGGCAACAAGACGCTTGGGGTGTCAGTCCACTTCTGGTCCGGGTTCTTGCGACATTGGGCTTCTGATGGCTTTCGAGATCACGTAGACGTGACACAGATCCTGTTATCCTTGTACAGATGGCGGTGCATCTCCCCACAAACACGACAAGGCTAGAATCCCCTGCAAGCACGTTGAGCACTGAGCCTATTGAAAGCCAGGAGCCCATGCTTGTCACAGAGTACATGGAGGGGGGTGATGTTGAGAACTACATGTTTCTGTGCCTTGGGTCGGTCATAGCTCCATGTTCCTACTCAATGCTTCGGGGAACATGTGGGCTTCAGGAGAAGCCCGGCCGTGCAGGAACCCCCGCTCTCGCGTTGCCGTAGCAAACGCTGGTGTAGGCTGCAACAGATCTGAATGGAGATGTGTGTGCGAGATGATGTTGTCTCCAGGGTAAACTCCGAACATTGGCTCATTGACCTCGCTGTAGAGCCACACCCACTGGCCCCATCTTGGCCCATGCAGAGCACTTAGAGGCGTTTTTTGGGGGGTTTCCGAAAAAAGGGGTACCTTGTTGGGGCCCTTGTCATAAAGGAATCCTACTATTTGGTGGTCGATTATAGGGGTCCCCTATTTTCGGAAGCTCCCATTTAGGCAATGCGAAGCTGCTCAGGCATCGTCGGTCAGCACCTGGCCATCGTTTCAAGCCAAGTCTGGCGTTGGCGCCGCTGGCACTGCAATGATCACATCTTCGTTTTCACGGAGTTTCGGAAAAATAGGCAGATGTTCTCTAGCATTGTGGGCTTGTTCCTGAATCATAAACTGCTCTGACACAATATGCTCCGTTGTTGCGGCACTGGTCCTTGCTCCGCGCGGACAGCCGCATGCTAGAAGATGCGCACGGCTGCTCTGACCAACTTGTCTACCTACAAACGCCAATTGCAGCAAAAGGTAGGCTGACCGCATGTTGTCCGGAAGGCTGCGCTGGTCGATCTCTGTGGCAGAGGCACCTTCGCCAAGACTAGGTCACCGTTAGTTTTTTTTGTGGGCCCTGCGACATTGGTGGCCTTCCCTTCCCTTTACATTCCAAGAATTGTCGAATGGCTCACGGGCAGGTTTTCTGTCTTGGCAAGGCAACTGCAAGGTTGGACGTCGAACGCTTCTAGGTTCCGGACTCTGATTCTAGACGACGAGAACAGTACAGATAGGTAGGCGGATATGTATATATATATATATATATCTCTCTCTCTCTCGGAAAAGGGTGTATATGTATGTATATATATCTATATATATGGTGCAGCATCGCTGCCCCCCCCACCCCACCCCACCCCACCCCATGGTACCCCCCCCCCCATGGCCCCCCTGTGGGGTGGTGTGGTTGGGGTTTGGGTTGAGGGTTAGGGTTCAGGGTTTAGGGTTTAGGGTTTAGGGCTTAGGGCTTAGGGCTTAGGGCTTAGGGCTTAGGGCTTAGGGCTTAGGGCTTAGGGCTTAGGACTGGGGTTTAGGGTTTAGGGTTTCGGGTTTAGGGCTTAGGGCTTAGGGGGGGGGTGGGGGATACCATATGAAAGGGGGGGTGGGGGGGGGGGGAGGGTGGGGGGGGTGGGGGGGGGGGGGGGGGGGGGGTGGGGGGGGGGTGGGGGGGGGGGCGGGGGGGGGTGGGGGGGGGGGGGGGTACCGACACAGGACACGGAACCATATGTACGCACATATATACACATGCGTTTATATGTGTAGAACTGAAAACATGGATGGATAGGCAGGACGAAGACACGATAAATGTACTGAGCTCAGGCGCTGACATACCTTCATGGCCTTCATCGGCAGCTGGGCTCAAATCTCAAACAAATGGTTTAGGGTTTAGGGCGCTTTAGTGCTGCTTCTTTCATCGCTACGCGCGGCCCCCCCGCGAGGAAGCGGCTTGAGCCTGAGGTCCCTGGAAAAACCCTGTAGGAATTCCACGAACGACCCCTCGTAACGGTTCTAGGCATCCTTGAAACACAGCGAGTCTTCAAGCGTTCCACAGTTTTGCAGAGCTACAGCCCTAGGTTTGCACAAGGCCGACGTGCGGGCGGCAGGGTCAGGAGTCACCCACCCAAGCCATCCGGAAGCCCTCCAGCCTTCTTCAGCAACCGATGATAGCTGCACTTAACCGTGGGGAGAAAACATGAAGCCGAGGCCAACGACTTTACGACTCAATCCCGAAAAAAGAAGTTGTCCCCCAAGATGACAAGTCGTTTCAGTACTACAGTGATTGGTTCCTGTGTACCTTGGAGGCCCATCATCCACCGTGACCTCAAGCCATTGAATTTGTTGCTCAGCAAGGATCTTCAGGCAAGGGTCGTGTTGCCTGATGCCTTCAGCAGCAGCTTGGGGTCTAAGCCTCAACTCTACCAATATAGCTACTGTACATGAAAAGGGCTTATGTTGCAGCTACTATGTGGTGCGTGCGTTTAGGGCTCCTGATACATACTGAATGTATATAACACATGTCTTGCTAGGTCTTCCAGATTACACATGGTTCTTGCACTCGTTGTAAAAGCACTGTGTGCCACATGACCCCGACTAAGCGCGAGCAGAGCAGTAGAGCTCACCCCCTCCTTAAAACTTCGGGGCTTCGCGTGCTACACTCGCACATGAAGCCCTCGAATAAAGAAGGGAAGCGAGCCAAAGAGAGCGTGGAAGGTGAAGATCACGGACTTTGGCATCAGCAAGGCCAGGACACTCTTTAAACTCTTCCTTTCGTTTAGTAGGGCATCATGAAGCTTAACCTGCCTTATTCCTTTGTTATTGGAGGAGTTAGACAGTCTTAGGGTCTCAAGGAACCCCAGCCCGGGCCCCTGTATCTGTCGTTTCACAGGAGGAGAGGGACACACAAAGGTACCTCTAGGGTTTGCCGATAACGAGTACATTAGGATCCACCCTCCCAAATATGGGGTCCAGACTTTATAAGCCCTGGGACGACTGGCAGGTAAGCAGTGTTGTAGCTTTTGAGTTGTGAAGCTTAAGGCTATGCTTGGCAAACAGCAGCTGACCTGGAAATAGTCTCACTGTTGTCTTTGAGCAGACCTACGCCCGAGACGAGACACTGCATGACCTGCTCGTGAACCTCATTGCGCTGAGAACGCCATAAATACCAAAGGCAACTTCCTGAAGAAAGCTTATACCTCGGGATGTTCCCCCTTGTACTCACAGTCCTTGATAGGGATTAAAGTCCCCCCTAGTATAATCCCTATAAAGGACTGTTGGTACAAGGGGGGACATCCCAACTTATACCTCTTGGTCCACCCCAAGCCTCGACTGCCAGGTGATGCCTCCACGCGGAGTCTTGGTGATGTTCAGCAGCTGGCATTGTCGTAGTTTATTGTAGTATACTTGCTTAGTAATTACACTTTTTGAGGCATGCTGCTCCGACCGTTTCACTTGGGTTTACGGGAATTTTGTGAAACTGGTCGGCTCTTGCGTATTGACTGCCAGATTCACTCCGGGGCGACGGTCTGCTCTCACGAAGGCTTCATAGGAAGCACTGCTTGGTTTCCCAACAGGATGTGGGTTTGGCTAGTACTCCGATTAGGGGTCGCCTCAAGCTCACATCCGCAGATCTTCATGTTGAGTTGTTTTTCTTGGTTTGTCTCTCTGCGTGTGTGTGTGTGTGTCCCTCTGTGACCGTGTCTGTGTCTCTTTGTTTCTGTGTCTCTGTGTTTCTGTCGTGCGTGTCGGTGTGGCAGTGACCGCTGTTTGTTTTTTCGGCACCGCTCTCGAGCGCTGTATTCGGCACCCCTTTTTCTTGTTCTAGCTATGGGCAAGTGTTGTAGGCACTGGCATGGCGGCATTACGAGTCACCGAGGAGGAAAAGACGCAAGCCCGGCACCGATGACAGGAGGGGTCGGCACCTGGCGCTACATGGCCCCGGTCAGCTGGCTGCAATCCTCCCCGCACTGCCGTAGTTCCTGCACAGTCCTTGAACTTCAAGTTTCTCAGCTAGCGCGACAGCGTGGTGACACAGTGGCACAGTGGCCTCCCCGACACCTCCACCCACACGAGCCTGTGAAAGCCAAGGAAGTCGTCCGAAACGAGGCCTACACCGACCGCGTGGACTGCCCTAGGGCCCCAGGGGTTCACGCAGCTGACGTCCTGGTCAGTAGCCGAGTAGCCCAGAGTAGCCCATGAAGCAGAGCGATCCGTGAGCGATCCCTAAAAGGCCATCTAGATGCAGCACACTGACACACGGTGACCTGCGCTTGATGTTGCATAAAGGCCAGTGGATCGTTGTTTTGGCTAGCGTCATTGATGATGACCCCTTGGTGTTTTGTTTCGGTTTCGGGGTGGGCTTGTGGGTGGGTGGGTGGGTGATAAAAATCATCTTGGTTTCTCCTTGGGTGCATGGTCGGCGGCGGTCGCTTCTGCCCTTTGGCTTTAGGATTCTGCGTTGAGGGGTTTGGGCATCGGCCGCTTCTGTTCTTGGGGTTCAGGGTGTCGAGATACTTCGCAAGACTGCTGGAACAGAGACACTGGGCTGAGTTTTGAAACATCCGAAGGGATGTGCCTTACGCCCTGCGCCAAGAGTGTTCCCCAACTTGGTCGTGTCTTGTGCTGCCACACGCCCTTCACAAAGACTTGGTGTCGCAAGCAGCGGCAACAGCGTTAGCTCTGACATACTCTCATACTCTCACCCCCCAAAGTTGCACTGTGCGGCAAGGATATCTTCTCGTTCAGCTTGATTGTCTACTTCCTCTTCACGGGGCGCCCGCCATTCCACTCATTTTGTGGGCCCCACCCTGAGAGCAGCTTGGCTGCGTGCACAGGAACCTACCATTAGCTGGCTATTCGATAAGGGCGAGCTGAAGAGCGAAGATAGGGAAGGCAATGTTGCACCAAGTCAAAGAGACTTGGGACATCGTGGCCAAAGCCCCGGACACCCCTTTTAGATTTCAGTCTTTAAATCCGTAAAGCAAACGGGATCCGATCAGAAACTCAACGGCTGGCAAACCGGAAGAGATAAAAAACTCTGCAAAGTGCCGCATGTGAAGCTCTGCTGTTGGGTCTTCGGATGGGCTAACTTGAAGTAGTTTAGGTTTAGGGTTTAGGGTTTAGGGTTTAGGGTTTAGGGTTTAGGGTTTAGGGTTTAGGGTTTAGGGTTTAGGGTTTAGGGTTTAGGGTTTAGGGTTTAGGGGTTAGGGTTTAGGGTTTAGGGTTTAGGGTTCGTGGGGGGCGCGGGGGTGGGGGGTGGGGGGTGGGGGTGGGGGCACAAACCGCCCTAAACCCTTAAGTCTAAACTCAGAAATTCTGAGCCCTAAACCGTAAACCCTTCCCTCTGATTCCTGAACCCTAAACCCTAGACCCCAAACCCTAAACCCTAAACCCTAAACCCCAAACCCTAAACCCTAAACCCTAAAACCCTAAACCCTAAACCCTAAACCCTAAACCCTAAACCCTAAACCCTAAACCAACAAGAAACTCTCAGCCCAGGAATCTTGGAGGCCTACCTCGCAGGGCAGGAGCCCCGACCACAGCTCGACCTCATCGCGAGCCCAGCCCTGAAGCCTCTTGGTATTGGGATTTAGGGTTTAGGGTTCAGGGTTCAGGGCTTAGGGCTTAGGGCTTAGGGTTTAGGGTTTAGGGTTTAGGGTTTAGGGTTTAGGGTTTAGGGTTTAGGGTTTAGGGTTTAGGGTACTTAAAACAATTTTGGCACGATTTGGAATCGTGCCTGTGGTGTTCGGAGGAACAGCCGCAAGATGTAAAAGAAAACGTGAGACCCCAAACCCGAAACCCGAAACTCGAAACCCGAAACCCGAAACCCCAACCCCCCTAAATACTTGTCAATCATATGAAGCAGGACGTCGCCGAAGATGAGTTCCGACTGCAGACCTCCATGAAACCCACCCTAAACCCTCAACCCTAAACCCGAAGCCTAAACCCTAACCCTAAACCCTAAACCCTAAACCCTAAACCCTAAACCCTAAACCCTAAACCCTAAACCCTAAACCCAGCTTGAGGTTCCTGAAGCCGTTCTTGGAGGAGAGCCGAGACGGCGGTGGAATGAAGCTCAGGGTGTGAGGCTTCTGAGGTTTCTGGGATGTCCAGGATCCAGGGATATTTAGGGTTTAGGGTTTAGGGTTTAGGGTTTAGGGTTTAGGGTTTAGGGGTATTCCCGAATGTAGGGGTACCTTCTTGGTGTCCTCTTGATAAGGGATCCCACTATTTGGGGGTCTATGTTCGGGGTCCCCTACTATCCCTAAACCCTAAACCCTAAACCCTAAACCCAGCGTGATTCTTATTGAGTCCGCCGCTGATCTTCCCTCGAACTTCGCAACGAAGAGGGGCCCGGAGTCTCAGAAATGCAGTCCCCCTTAGGGTTTGGGGTTTAGGGTTTAGGGTTTAGGGTTTAGGGTTTAGGGTTTAGGCTTTCGGTACGGAAAGCGCCCACGGCAAGTGTCATTGCAACCCTAAAGGCCCCAAAGCCCTGAAGCCGCAAATCCCTAAACCCTCTAGTCCGCAAAGGTCTAGAACCCTTAAACCCTTAAATTCTAGAACCCTAGAACCCTACAGCCCCAAAACCCAAACCCTCGAAACCCTAAACCCCCAAACCCTAAACCCCAAACCCCAAACCCTGAACCCTATAAACCCCAAACCCCAAACCAAAAAACCCTAAACCGCAAACCCGAAACCCCAAAGCCCAAACCCCAAACCCTAAACCCTAAACCCTAAACCCCGAACCCCAAACCCTAAACCCTAAAACCCTAAACCCTAAACCCCAAACCCTAAACCCTAAACCCCAAACCCTAAACCCTAAACCGCAAACCCGAAACCCCAAAGCCCAAACCCCAAACCTTAACCCCATACCCTAACCCCCAAACCCTAAACCCTAAACCTCCAAACTCTGAACCCTAAACCCCAAACCCCAAACCCCAAACCCCTAAACCCCAAACCCTAAACCCCAAACCCCAAACCCTAAACCCCAAACCCTAAACCCCCAAACCCTAAACCCCAAACCCTGAACCCTAAACCCCAAACCCTAAACCCCAAACCCTAAACCCCAAACCCCAAACCCTAAAACCCTGGCGGAGGATGCCTGGGATCCCTCCGCGGCTGCGCGGCCCTCCGCCGCCGAGTGCGCGGTCCGCCTGCATGCCATGGGCAGCCAAGGCCTTTCTGTCTGGACTTTTTTTTCTCCTTAAGGACTGAGGTTTAGGGTTTAGGGTTTAGGGTTTAGGGTTTAGGGGTATAGGGTTTAGTCTGGACTTCCACCTTTTCCCTTAAGGATTGAGGTTTAGGGTATAGGGTTTAGGGTTTAGGATTTGGGGTTTTGGGGTATAGGGTTTAGGGTTAGGGTTGCCTTCCTGTCTGGACGTTTTTTTCCCTTAGGGGTTGATCCGAGAGTTTAGGGTATAGGGTTTAGGGTTTAGGGGTACTTCCACCGTTTCCCTTAAGGATTGTAGGGTTTAGAGGCATAGGGTTTAGGGTTTGGGGGTATAGGGTTTAGGGTGTAGGGCTATAGCCAAGGCCTTCTGTCTGGACTTCCACCTTTCCCTTAGGGATTTTAGGGTTTAGGGGTATCGGGTTTAGGGTTTAGGGCTAGGCGGGGCCATAGGCTTAGGGTTTATAGGGGTATAGGGTTATACTGTAGGGTATACAGAGGGTTTAGGGTTCTACTTTCCACGACTGTACGGTTGTGCTGAACTTCCGCCTCCAGCTTGCCAGGTCTTCTCAACGCGATGCAGTTCCGCGTGAGGTCGATGCTAGCATGGAAACGTGCCGTGACACAGTAAGCGACGCAGTACCAATGCAGAGGATGTCTGTTCTAATGTATGCTTCGGGGCATGTATAGGTCTGTCGATGTATGTCGGAGATCGGCAGAGGAGAAGTGAAGTCCAGGGCAGGTGCGAAGCGCCTGACCCTGAGGTGTAGTCATGGGAGAAGAATCATGAAGCGAGCTAAGAAAGATTCCTATGGCAATGATGCTGTGCGTTGGCTGTGAGTGAATCAAGCTTCCTTTTCCTCTGGCGATGTGCAGCAAGCCCTACTGCATCTTGCTCCGTTTATCTCCGCTTGGATTTTCCGGTGCCTGCGAGGAGAGAAGCCGAAACCAGAGAGCGTTACAGGCACGACAGTGAAACAATTCCCAAACCCTGCCTTGCTGTGCACAAATCGTCGAGGTTCCTACCCTTTCAACCACAGCCCTGCGGCAATGAGCCAAGGAGTTCACGGCCTATCTCAGCATGATTGGAAGCCCATGCGCCATACGATCTTATGAGAGCCTTATCCTGAGAATTCTCGAGGCCGAGACCTAAACAGGCATAAACTATGCTGCGCCTCATGTGTGCAGGAGTCCCATACCCACTAATGTCCAGAAGCTCATCTGCACCTTGCTGCCATTTTGGCCGCCTTGCCCCTTTGCACGTTGTATCCCAAGATGAAAGGCTGCACAACGGTGCAGGCACCTGCAAGCCGAGCTGCATGACCCGCGAATCCAAGCGAACCGGTCGGATTCCTGGGTACTTCAGGGAGCTGGCGGCCACAAATCACAGGGGTTTCAGTGGGTTGCAGAACCCTAAGCCCTAAAACCCTAACTCTAACACCTTCACACCCTACTTGGGTTTAGGGATTCTGTCCTGGGCCTGGTGCTTAAAAGTCTGACGAAGATACGGTTGAGGGTTGGCCACTCGAGTTCCAGTTGCTTGTTGGTGCGAGTAGCGTTGCATTGACTAGCCGAGTAGCTGTCTGACATTGGATTAAAAAGAGATTTAGCGCTGGTCGCTTGGGTTCTGCGATTTCCCACTTCGCCCTGCTCTTGGCGATGCTATTCGCAGGGCGGGTGGGAAAGCCAGTTAATTGTCGCAAGAGTCCGCTGGCCCAAGCTCGCCCCTCAGGTTGGGGTTCAAGGAGATTGAGACTCCGCAGGGGGTGCATGCTGGACTCATTTACCGTCCTCTTTTGCCTGGCTCTTGACCCTGCTTGCAGGCGTGCCACCGAAGCTGCATCGAACACTACACCCTAAACCCTAAACCCTAAACTCTAAACCCTAAACCCTGTTCGGAAGCCATGAGTAGAACCTTGAGCCCCTCGTCGTAGTCCAAGCGTTAGGCAATTCTGCAGGGCACTTTCCGAATCCTTGCAGCTTCGGCCCAAGTCTGATGTAAAAGGCGCACCTTTTGAAGCGAAGTTGTGCATTTAAATCATGATCCCCAAGATCTCATGATCCCCAGGATCGCTGAACTTTTAGATGGTTTGAAAAGGAGTTGAAGAAGCTCGCTGACAGACAGATGGCTGAGCCTCTGGCTGACGAAAGAAGTGCCCCTTTGTCTGGGGTACCTTTAGAACCCTAAACCCTAAACCCTAACCCTAAACCCTAAACCCTAAACCCTAAACCCTAAACCACACTGAACATCCATAACCCCGGAACCCTTGCTCCTACTTCGCAAGAAAGCCCGAGCACGACTGCAAACTTCTACACGTCAACGATCTTCTATTGTATAATTGGGCGGTGCAGACTCTGTCCACTAAGCTAAATCGACGGGCGAGACCCCGAAGCACTGGATGGCTGACCCACATGCAATCACAATAACAAACCCTAAACGCTAAACCCTAAACCCGCAGCCTGCCTCGGGGGTACCCTATTGGGGTCCTTATTACAAAGGAATCCGGGGTCCCTTCCTGTCGCCAACCTCCAAAAAGATTAGAATGCTCCGAACGCTGTCGCTCTTGCTCTGGGTCTCAATGTGATCCAAGCACGACAAAGGGGCACGGTTGGTAGTTTCCGACATGCGTGATCCCTGCTCAGACTTCGTGATCATCACTGATCACAGCCCGTAAGAGCTGCGAGGTCTAGGCGGGATCAACGTGTACCAATTTCAACACTTGGACGAGGTCTCCGTCGTCTTCGGCTGCCGCCGGGGGCACTTGAGAGCTTCGCGTTTAGTCCGTGCCTTCCTGGGGAGCTGCATTCGGTGGCCCTGGGGCTGCACAGACGTCACAGACTTCTCACATTTTCTCACAGGGCCGATTTTCTTTTCTGTGTTGTTTTCAGGTCTTTGCATTTCTGATCATTTTTGGAGGTTCAAGAAGACTTAGAGCTGGAGTTCCCGTATGCAGAGTCTCGGGCTGCACGGCACAGACGAGTTTGCAAGAAGCAGTTGCCGAGCAAACTGCGACCTTCGCGATTCTGTGTCTGTAGCATGCTGCTTGGGATGTTCCCCTTATACTAACAGTCCTTAATAGGGATTATAGCACCCTCGAATATAATCCCTATGAAGGACTGCTAGTATAAGGAGGAACATCCCAACGTACTGCAAGCTTCTGTCACAGTCTTTTGTCCTTATGGGGGATCCATTTGCCTGCGTGCGACATGATCAGGTGGGCGCCAATGGGACCCTTTTTGCAGTTGATGCTGCAAAAATTATTGAACCGGCTCTTTTCTCAGCAGTGGTTGTGACTTTGAGAACATGTCCTTCGACTCCTGTATGAGCTACTAGGACCTAGGAACTACTCCTAAACCCTAAACCCTACCCTAAACCCTAAACCTTATACACTACCAGGTATAGCTCTTGGAGCGGCTAGACGGGGGGGGGGGGGAGGAGGACAGTGTCAACCGCAGCGGAGGAGCCAATTGCGGATCCAGATTCCTTGATTCCTTGAGGGCACCGGACATCTGAGAGACATCTGGTCTTCGAAGTCCTCAGAGAATGGGTTTAGGGTTGAGGGTTGAGGGTTTAGGGTTTAGGGTTTAGACTGTTCCACCAACGCTTACAGGAATTCCCCTTAAGGTGAGCACCGTCGAACCCACAGCTGCGGCTGTCTCTGCTAGGTGCCCCAATCCCGAACTTAGTGAAGGAAACTTGAAGAGTAGGTGCCCTATCTATATTTGAGGAAGGATGGGCACGGTAGCTCCAGAACCGACGGACAGTATGTTTTTCAGAGTGTCTACACCATCACGGTAGTGCCCGCACGCGTAGCTCGCAGTAAAGGATTCCAAAAGCAGGCTCCAGTAAGAGGAATGCACGTGCAAGGGGCCGGAGGCTCCGACGAAGCAGTCCTGCCTGAGGGCACTCACATCCACGTGGGCCTTTCAGAGTTTAGGGTTTAGGGTTTAGGGTTGTACTTGCCATTCGCTGACGACCTTGTGCCGCATCATCGTGCGGTGCTTTAGTTTGGGTCGGGGGCGGGGGCTGTTCTCCATCTCCTCCACTTCTCTTCTATGCTGCCTCGCCCAAGTACCTGCGTTTTCGCTTAAACCGCATTTGCTTGTCGGCTTTGCAGAACAAACACCATGCATACGTGATCATGGGCACCCACAGACCCCTCCACCCGCCCACCCCACCCCAGCGCTGGTGTGGTTGTGGAGATCTCGGTTCAGGGTTTGGGTTTAGCTCGCAGGGATACATGAGGGGAGATGCGTACCTTCAATTATACGATTTTTCATGAAGGGGTTCAAGAGCTCTGAGCCCAAAGCCCAAGCTCCCCCTGGTTTTTTATAATAACCTCACTGCGGCTCAAAAAATTGTAGGGGTGCATCTATGATCCTGGAAAGCGTGGATGTGATCACCCTGCCAGCATCAGCGCACGGGCCCGGGCGAAACTGGATGCCCCCCACGCTCACAAGCGTCCGGCAGGACGACGCCCGCAGGATTTCAATGCCGGGGCTGTGTCTGCTCATTTGTGACGGATTTTTGAGCTGAAATCCGTCTTCTTAAATGGGGAGTCAGATCCAGAATACAATTCTGCCAAAGGCGCAGGAGAGAAGCAAACGCTGGGCATGCAAAATGGGAAGCTCCCTTCCGGTCTCAAACTTTAGGCAGGTGCGTACTCTTCGCCAGGTTCATATATTATAATATCTGCCCTACGCCGCGCAGCTACCATGTTCTTTCTTCAGCATACCAGGGTCTGAGCAAAAATCAACCATCAGAGCCCCTCTTCTGCCCCCAAGACTGTGCAGCCCCCTCCAAGCTGAGGCGCGAGATCTTCGAGCTGTCCGGCCTTGCCGTCGCTGAGCTCTCCCACATATGGCAGGTAGGCCGACCAACCTGGTGAGGTATTCCTTAGGTTCGGATGCCATGTAGGGTTTTGTTTTTTAAGGGGGTTTAGGGGGGTTTAGGATGCTACTTCGAGTTTGGGCGTGCAAGGGCATTGTTGAGTTTGGGCCTTGTAAGTGGTGATTGCCGGGCAGCTGCAGGTTTTAGGAAGCCTTGTCGTGTTGAGCTCCGAATACCTCGAATGTTAGAGTCATGTTGGCCCCTGTAAGACCATGGGAGGTTCCAAAGGTTGCGTAGCTTAGCAGCCGTAGTTGAAAATGGCTCAGCATTTTGCAATGCCTACAGCAGATGCAGAAGGGCAAAAGCATCCGACCCCTGCCAGCTCTGCGACATGGACCGAGATGGTTCGTTGACTTTCGTGGAGTTCGCCTGTGCCAGAGCCAGCAGTTAGGGTCAAGCATAGCATCGCGGCGGCAGGGATCTTGATGGTTTGGATGACTCAGAGGGAAAGCAGGATGTAAAACAACATGGGTCCTGAGAGGCAACGCCAGCCTAGTATTGTGGCTCTTCTCTTGCTTTTGCGGCCTTCCATACAGGCCAGAATTCTTGCAAAGAAAACCGGAGAAGAAAGAAATGGAGAAGAAAGAGCTGGGAAAAAGGAAATGGAGAAAGGAAAGGAGAAGGAGGTGAGAAAGTCACCAAGGATTGCATGGAGCTTTCCAGAGGAAAGAAAGAAAAGAGAAGAATAATGGAAAGAAGGACATGGGTCAGTTCCGAATGACCCAAGGCGCTACGATGGAGAAGAAGTTGCACAAGTCTTTGCCAAGACAGCTCATTCACTTCTCGGCCGTTTCAGCCTGACACCGCAGAAGGTCCTTTCCGAAAGCAAAAGGCATACCCAACCCCTAAACCACTCAACTCTCGGATGTGTGCTTCCTCCGAAGCCATGGCCATCTTGAACCCATCTCGGCGTCCCAAAATCCCTCTCTGAGTCCAGTTTGCTCCGAGGTGCCATGGCCATTGTAGCCAGGCGCGGGCGTCAAGAAAGCTGAAAACTCCAGACCCCAGTCGGTCTTCAGCTGTACTGTGAGGGTTGAGGGCGGACTTGAGTCAGTTGCGACCCCGATATCCAACCCACAATCCGTACTGACAAATGTCTTCTCTGCAAGGGCCTTTGCAGTGTATGCACGCGTCAAAGTTTCACAGTGAGAACAAGACTTCAACAATCCACAGGCGAGCTTCCGTGGGGTGGTGGAAATGGCCTCCGCCCCCCGCCATGTACAAACACATAACCGTTCATAAATATAAATACATAAATCAAGAAATATATATATATATATGTATACATAAGTCTATTCCTATATTATAGCCATATAAAATCATACGTCAAAATTACAAATTTGCCCCTGTTGCGCCTCGCTGGATGTTGCGCTTCGAAAGCCTTGGGCAGGCGCCGGCGTGGCGGGCCCTTGCCCTCCGAAGTGCCGGCGGCACTGCGCAGGCGCCCTATATGCCCTCCTATATATATGTATATATATATAGAGACATTTCTCCCCATATCTATATATACATATACATATATATATATATACATTTATTTTAGTTACACACCCTGAATATCCACTATACATATACATATATGTATATATATATATATATATATATATAATGGTATGTATATATCTAGCCTATACTGCAACCGGCGCATGGGCTAACTGCGCGGAGTCAGGGAAAGAGGGGATGGCAGTGCGCAATGCTTTTTCCCCAAACAGTCTACTGCTGGAATTCTAAATTCATTTAAGGATTGCCGACATTCTGAGGACTGTTGCCGGGTTCCCGGGCTCCTTGTGTCCCTTTGTGTCCCTTTGTGTCCCTTTGTCTCCCTTCATGTGGGTGGCTTTGCCGGGTTGCTGTGCTCCTCGGCTCCCTTTGTCTCCCTTCCTCTCCCTTTGTCTCCCATTGTCTCCACTGTTTTTTGACGTGCCTATGACTGTTTGGGGTCTTCGGTGGTGTAATACCGCCGAACCCTGAAGTCCTGGCCTTCGGTGATCATGAACCGCGACGTAATATGCAAGAATCTATCCATAATATGTACATAGAAAATATAATATAAGTACATATATATATATACATAGGTATAGATTTTTTCATATATACTATAAGAATATGGCATGCAAGTAGCATATAAACGTGTTAAGCAATGTGCAGCAGTTCATGCTGCTGGTTTTTTTTATGTTTGATCGCATCCTTCACGGGAGATGTCCACAGCCACCACGCATCGGGCAATGTTCCTCAGTCCTTCACGTTATGGTTAGGGTCCTCCATGTACAGGCATCTTCGACGTACTAGTTTTCAGGTCTCCCACGGATACTTTGAGCAGCCCGTGAGGGTTTGCAATACCTGAAGCATGTCAGGGCGGCAGAGGACTTCGTCCCCTTGGGGCCTGGCGAAGCTGAGCCTCAAGCTCGGACATGACACTTGTTCACAGGCGTATATGAACAAAGGTGTGTGCGTGCTGTAGGCCTTCCTCTTCTTGTGTGCTGCAGATTCTCCTACCCGGCAACAGGCAAACGAAAACAGAATGCACACATACACACAAGCAATTCGCCCTTCAGCCCTGAACTCCCAACCTCTCCAAATCCTGCTTCGCGGCTTAGGCTGGAAGGCTACCGCCAGCATTACCGGCGCCTGGACCCATCGCAATCTGGGCATGCCGACGTCGCCGCTGCCAAGGCTGGCGAGGGTTGAGGATACATAGGGTCTAGGGTTCATACTACTGTTATTGGTGGGTGTATACAAGGTTCCGTTTAGCACGTAAGCCCTACTTCACCTAGGGCTTAGGGTTGCAGGTGGTTAGCTGTTTGGCTAGGGTTCGCAATTGGTCCAAAGCGTCCCACAGCATTTGAGACTGATCAAACCCCACTGGACGACTGGCTTAACCAGACTGCAGCTCTGGCACCTGACGCCGTAGTAGGCCTTGCAGCAGCATGTCATCGTTTAGTCCGCAAGAATTCCACCCGACAAAAAAAACCCTAAACCCTCAACCCTCAACCCTAAACCCTAAACCCAAAACCCAAAACCCAAAGCCATGGCGGGCGACGGCAGCAATGGTCTGGACTTTCTACAGGGCCGGTGGGCCGTCGAGTTCACAGACGCTGGCGGCTCTAAGACGCTCACTGCTGAAGTGGAGGTAGCGGGCAACGTTCCTGGGCGCAGTTGGACACATGTTTACTCATGTTGAAGCTGGAGAGGTCCGGCGCTCTCAGCCTCTCAAGAGAGACCTTGCTATTTGAAATTGAGATTCGGTGCTTCAACAATTTCAATCCCGGGCCTAGACCCTCTTGCTTGTAGGTGCTAGGACCTCTCTCAGGGATCGCGGGCTTCAGGTTTCAGGTCATGGCTGCACGTAGCGCCTTGGAGACACATCGTGCTGCCGTGAAGCCGTAGCGCAATTTTTTCGAACTGTTCGGCATGCAGTGCGCTCCATGTGGGTTCCTGGGTGTTCGGTACCCATGGACAGCAGCTGTCAGGCTTGAATTGTGTGAGGATTTGTTTGCACCAGAGACACACACACACACACACACACACCTTCGGCTTTGGAAGAATGCCTCTGCAACTGGTGTTGACACTGAGGTAGCCTCATACAAGTCTCAAAGCCAGACAGCTTCCGACGGTCCTTACAAGTACCAGATCACTTGCTCACCTGTGGGAGTGCCTCAGCAAGCAGAGACGGTTCGGCTTTTTGTTTTCGAAGTGTACCAGCATCACATGACAAACATCCTGGACCACGTCAATGTCAACAGAGTCAACAAGTAACAGAAACACAGGTTTGTGTTGCATCTTTACCAATTGTGTCAGTCATGCTTCCGGCGATAGAACTCGCAGGGACACTATGTGAAATCGAATGACAAGTGCTGCGAGGTCGTAGAGATCAAAGACAGCAGCGGCCTCATCTGGTGGTTGCAGAAGTACTCGCCGTGGGTCCGCAGCCCGTTCGAACAGAAGGGCTGCCGAAGCAGCCAGGCAGGTCGGGTGCAGCTTGGGGTTTGCCGGTTGCGTGTTGATCTGGGCCAGTTCTCTAAATCATGGTCCTTTTTTTGGGGGGTACCCTACATGACTAGGGGCCGCCGTAGAAGAAGGATCCCAAAAAGGGACCATATTGTAAAGAAGAGTCCATCGGGGCCGACTCCACAGGCCATATGGTTGCTGGACCCGGAGATGAATGACCCGACGCCGCCACTTGGTCGAAAGTTTGCTCGTCTGAAGACTTCCCACGTTGTCTCTAGACTGAACATGCACATAACTGTAGTGCGGCTGTGATTTCGTCGGTTTTTCTGCGTCAGAAATCGGAGATCCCGAAGTCGGGGCGAACTGGAGAAGAGCCGCGGCAAGTGCATTGCCCATCTCAGGAATGGGTCTTTGTCAAAGATCGTGTGGTGGTTGCGGACATCGCCCATCCCTGTGCTGAAACGACAGGAGGCCCTAAACCCTAAACCCGAAACCCTAAACCCTAAACCCTAAACCCTAAACCCGAAAATGTTGGCGGGCCTCGCCTGACTGTAGCAGCAGCCCATACTAGTCGAAAGTAAGACGCCGCCAACTACTTAAGAGGGCAGCGGCAGGAAGGCATGAAAGCAGGGCTGGCGGGAATCTCTTCTTTGCTAGTGATCGCGGACAGTGGAGACGAAGTGTCAGGCATGTTGAGTTCTGTGCCGCTTGAGGCATTGACGAGGCTTTCTGGCCGAACAGTCCAACCCAAAGCTCGAGCAGTTCGAAAGTCGAAGATGCGAATGCAGATGGAGAGACAAAAGAGGAAGGAGAGGAAGAAGAGGACTGAGAGGAAGGAGAGGAAGAGAAAAAAGACTGAGGTCGAGGACACCGCCGCTGATGCATGAGCACGAACATGCCAGTGCTAAAGAGTAGAGCACGCAAGACGTGTGCAACCTGCCTAACAACTTGAGATCCGACATGTTCCGAACCCTGGAGTCTAGTGTGGCTAAGCCTTGAGCAGGTTAGAAAGCTTCCCAGCACCCAGCGTCAATCCTCTGAAATTCTACACCTTTCGTGCCTCGCTTCTTGCGTGCCGAGCCTATCCCAGCACCGGCACGCTGTGACCCCTCGCTCCACCCATCCTTTGGGGAGGACCTATCGACGAGACGTCGTCCACGGTTGGAGGCAGGGAGTGGAGCGAAGTGGAGAGAAGTAATTGCGTGCAATTTCGTAATGCTTTACGAGCAGCACCAGGAGTTATAGAACCCCGTACCACGAAAGCCTGTGGACACGACATGAGCATCGTTTACGTTACGCTGTTTGTTGGTAACTGCTTTTGCTGAGTTCGGGAGTGGTCTCAGGGCCTGATCTCAGGTGCTAGTGTGTAGTGCTGCAGCAAGTAGCGATGCAGACTCCCTAAACCCTAAACCCTAAACCCTAAACCCTAAACCCTAAACCCTAAACCCTAAACCCTAAACCCTAAACCCTAAACCCTAAACCCTAAACCCTGTCGTCGTTCAGCAAGGCTTTGGCTTCGCTCCGTGTGAATCAAGGCACTACAAGTGCCTTTAAATGATCGCGCACTCGGAATGTTGTAGGAAAGGTATTCCCTGAGTGTTCCACAGCTCGAAATGCAGGCGGCGGATTGTGGCTGGGCGAGGCTCAGTCGACTTCTCCGGACGCGCAGGTGCTAGCGTGCTCGAAGTGAACTGCGCACAGGACTTGGGGGGCGGCCACAAAGTGACAAAGTTTGCAAATGCGCAGTCAAGACGGGCCCAAGATATGATACGAGGGATTGTGAAAACAAGCTGCCTGCTCGGCCAGGAACTGTGACGCACGGAACTTCTGAAGGGGCTCTGAAATCTCTGGTAAGCTCCCGTTCACTTCGTAGCATCCAACACGGCCGAATGCGAAAAAAGGCACGAGTGTCTGTGCGTCGTGGTGTCTGGCTTTCCTCAAGAAAGGGTCATGCAATGTTCATTTATATAAACCTTATAGCACATGCGGCAGCTTTAGCCTCACCTTGGCAACCTCCACATAAATAAAGATTGTAGAGTCTCTCTTCCATGACCTCTATGGCTCTGTGAGGAACCAACGGTTGCTGAATGTTGAAAGCGCGTGCAAGCACGTAGAAAGCAGAGCGGCTTCATCTTGAGTTGAATAGTATTCGCGTCAGCCTTCCCCACAAAACCTCTCGAACCTCTTACAGCACAGGTCTCGAACCTGCAGGCAAAAGGAGTCGTGGACCCCAAGCCCTAAACCCTAAACATCCTTGGGCACAGGACTTCTTCGAGGCCTCTGGGCTTCCTGTTGCCGAGCTCTCCACCATCTATGCCATGGCAGATGTGGCGCTGGGCTCAAGTTCGCACGGCACGTGGGCGTAGATTCTCCTTGCAAGACCAGGAGGGAGGAAGAAGAGCATAATGTGGCCTGCAGTTACCCCAAACCCTAAACCCTAAACCTGTTGTAGAGCAGCGTGCCTGCTTGAAAATGAACCACTGCGACCGCATGTAAAGCGGTGCGTCGAGTTCGTTGCCTGCGCTTCTCACCGAAGAGTTCTGCCACAGCCATGTCATGTTTGGGGTTTAGGGTTTAGGGTTTAGGGTTTAGGGTGTAGGTTTGGGGTTTAGGGCCAAAGAACCACTCGCAAGCAAAACCCTAATTAAACCTTAAACCTGCAGCTGGGGTATCCTGGTTTCTTGAGATTTGCCATCCCAGGCCCTCAGGGCTTATAGGGCTTAGGGCGTAGGGCTTAGGGAAGTTTCGGGTTTCGGGTGCTTTGGTTCCTTGCAGCATTGAGGACCACGACGGCCAGCTGTCCGAACCGGAGTTTTTGTGCGCCATGGCCCGGAACTCGGTGACCTTTAGGGTTTAGGGTTCAGGGTGTAGGGTTTAGGGTTTATAAGGTTTAGGGTTTAGGACCTCAAGTGCCCGGTGAGGCCTATCGCTAGGTTCCGCGCTGTTAAGTGCAGTTTGGCCGAACTCTAGAAACCGGGCTGCGATGCGCTAGACGGACTTTACCGTACCTTCCGAGCTGCAAGTCACGCGTTGCTTCGACATCTTCAATTGCACCCTCTTTCAATAAACCCTGGACCCTAAACCCGAAACCCTAAACCCTAGACCCTAAACCCTATATCACCTGAAGCCGGTTCACTAGAAGTCCACGAGCAAGTGGACTCGCAGAGGCACTTGTCTCGCGGCGCAAGGGTGGCGCAGCGATCCCAGAGGCGCTTCCGCCAGCGCCTCAGTGCGCATGAACTGTGACGTGTTCGAAACATACAAAGCACTTAAGAGAAAGCGGACAAGAGCAGATTGAGATTACAGATCGTTGGTCAGGCCAAAGTTTCTGGGGTTAAAGCCCATGTCTTTCCATTGAAGTCTGTGTGTAATTGCATTTTAAGGATGCGACTACTCTGAAGCTTACAAGGGCACGAGTCTGTCATAGTGTCATCATAAACGAGCCCTTGTCGAAGCATTTTAGCAGACAGTACCTCGCAATTGTTTTTCCTCAGTAGCTCTTTGATTGCATGCGTCTTCGAACCCCTTAAACCTCCAACGTCCCTGCCTAGTGCATCTTGCAGGATTTCTTGCGTGACATCCGACAACGCGTCATAGAGAGACTCTTCAAGCATCACCCTAAACCCTAAACCCTAAACCCTAAACCCTAAACCCTAAGCCCTAAGCCCTAAACCCTAAACCCTAAACCCTAAACCCAATCATGCCAGTCTTGGGGTTGTACGTGGCAGCACTAGAGAAGGCCTATTTGTTCGATCCATTGTAAACCGCAACTGAATGCCAGTTAACGACAGGGTTTTGATGTCAACAACTGGCTGAATAAGCCAGACTGCACGGGAGGTCTTGTTCTTCAAAACGAAAGCAAGGATTGTTTAGTGAAAAGTGGCTTTGATAGTTTGTCTGCATTGCAGCGGTCTGCGCTTGAAACGCACAGCATGCGCAGGACCAACATTCGGCAGGCAAGGCAGACTGCCTTGGGTTCGCGGTTCCTGTCATTTTCTACTTGTGTGGCGATGGACGGCACTCGTTGCGTCTCCGCTCAACCTTCAGGACTTCGTGGGCTTCAGGTCCAGAATGTAAGGGTCAGGGGCTACTGCCTTACTGCTACTACTGGTGGCGGCAGGATTCACCGAAGTTTCGCCAGGTTTCAGGCTACTTGTGCTCTAGAAGTCCAATGTCGTTCATCCTTCGACTGCTCCCCGGAGAAGGCTACGACCCCCCAAAGCCACATGCCCCCAACACAACCTTGGGCAGGCCTGCTTTGCAAGAGCGCCCGAAGCCGCGGTGCCAGCGACACAGGTCACAGGGTTGGGACCGGTCAAGGGTAGATTATATTATATATATTATATATTATATATATTATATATTATATATATTATATATTATATATATTATATATTATATATATTATATATTATCTGTTATTTTGGCATCAAAGATGTGCACTGTTGCGCGAGAATGGGGCCACTCAGTAACGGTCTTACAGTGGAAGATGAGTTCGGAAGCTTCGGTATGTTACGCAGCAAAGCTTCCCAGCGATGCTGAGTGGCCGCATGACACTCGCACATGGTCATTTGGTGCGAGCTTTGCATTTCCACTGCACCGGGCATCTCCACCCCTTCTGCAGGGAATCTGGCAAGCCACGCCCGAGGAGCTGGACAGGTGGGGGGAATGTGGAATATGCTTGTTGCATTATGGAGTCATCTGCGTGTTCATAGCTCTAGGCTGGGAGTTCCAAGTCAAGGCCGTGGATGTTCGTGATCAGTCTCGTGGCTATCGATCTACGGGTGTGAGCTTGCCAATCATCTTGTCGAGCGAGCCCGTCTGTTCTTCTGTTTGGTGCGCAACTGGTGTTTCAAAGGGATTCCCGAACAACATCCTTCATGTATATTCATTGAGACTTTCGGCAACGCTGTGTCTTGCATAGGCGGAACTTCGAGATAGAAGATGTGGGCTCCATCTGTTTCGGGCCGGCCCGAAGATGAACCGAAACCCGAAGGGCTCTATGCACCCAACTCAATCCTGCAACCACCCACAATCTACTCACACTTCCCACCATGAGCCTTCCCAAGAATGCCAAAGGATGGACTCTCAAACCCTCTAGCCCTTAACAAAAGGGCTTTCATAGGGCTACTCATGGCAGTTATAGGGCCTAATAAGCCTAATCGCCCATCCTGGTGAAGCTCTCGCTCTTGATCTTCGATCTTAAGCCAGGTATCGCGAACTCTTCTCGCAGCTCCAAGATGCCCACGGCTTCGTCGGTGCCGGCGACGCACGGGAGGCACAAATGCACGATTTGATTTGAAGTTCGGTTTGTTTTCCTTGTATCCCCCAAAAGGACTCCAAATACATAGACTCACCAATATTACAAGGGAGCCTTATGTATAACAGTAATATAAACCCTGTTTCATTTGACTGGTAGCAGAACTTTCGCAGGAAATGTGTCTGCAGAGTGATAGGGCGACAGGCATACTCTATTCGCTTCACAAGTGATGTGCGCCAGTTTACAGGAACGTGGAAAGCTACATGGAGGCTGCTTCAGTCAGAATCCGTATGCCTCAACCCCCACCAAAAAATCACCTAAAGCGCAGCCCTGAAATGCGCTGAACGGTGAGTTTGGACGAGTTTGGGGGTGGTTTGGGACCCTAAACCCTAGACCCTAGACCCTAAACCCTAAAGCGCAAACCGTAAACCCCCAAAATGGAAGGTGCTTGAGAGCTCCGGCCTTCCGGTCGACGACCTCGCGGTGGCCAGCGCCCCATTTGGGTGTGTGGACGCCGGTTACATGGGGGGGGGCTTGCGAAAAGAAGAGGGCCCCTAATATAGACAGGGTTTAGGGTTTAGGGTTTAGGGTTTGGGGTTTGGGGTTTAGGGCCCTAAATAGTAGGATTCCCTTATATTAAGGAATTCAATGAGGCATTTCCGGAAACCCCCACATCGATGTGCGCTTATGATCCAGATCTTGGGGAAGTGGCCCAGAGTGTGGGATGCATATGGGAGTTTACGAAAATAGGGGACCCATTCTATAGACCCCGAATAGTAGGACCCCCTTACAAAAAGGACCCCAATAAGGTACCCCTACTATCGTCAACCCCCATGTGATGCATGCTTCATCCCCGAATATTGCGAGCCAGCCATCTGCAGAATCGTCACTCGAAATGTTCAACGAACTTTCTTGGTGATTGTTCCCCTGTGGCTTTTTCCTTGAACTTCTCAAGTGCGTCGTGATGTACTTACTTCGCTGAGTGGCTTAAACAGCATCCCTGGCACATTGGGGGGACTTCGCTCATTGGGGCAGCATGGGTTTAAGGCCGATAGCTTTGTGCTGGACTGCAGATCTGGGACCTCGCCGACGCCGGCGATGACGGACAGCTCGACGAAGGAGACGCGCCAGGGTTTGAGGGGTTGATAGGGGCGCAGCATGGCATAGATGTGAGCACGTCTAGGCTGAGATGCTGCGAAAAATGGACAGTGAGTTCGGACGCTACAATGCGAAATTGTGGTTCTCCAACCGCTCCAACCCAGCACCTGGACCTATAAGGCATAGGCATCAAAAAAAAAATAATAAGCATCAAAAAGAAAAATAATAGGGATCAAAAAAAAAAATAATAGGCATCAAAAAAAAATAAGCCATCCGGCCCACCTGCGTGGTCCTCTGGTCCCGTGGTCCTCTGGTCCCGTGGTCCTCTGGTCCCGTGGTCCTCTGGTCCCGTGGTCCTCTGGTCCCGTGGTCCTCTGGTCCCGTGGTCCTCTGGTCCCGTGGTCCTCTGGTCCCGTGGTCCTCTGGTCTGGTCCCCTGGTCTTGTGGTCCCCTGGTCCTCTGGTCCTCTGGTCTGCTTGTCTGTCCGCCTGGTCCTGCGGGTCCTATGCGTATAAATAAATAATTAAATTAGACAAATAAGTAAAACTCAATAAATATAAATATACATTATATACACACGATAGTGAAGGTCAACGTGTGTGTGTGTATATATATATATATGTATGTATGTATGTATGTGCATATATATATACATATACATATTACATAATACACATTACATTACACATTACCTATTATATACTATACATTATACATTATATATTATATATTTTCTATTATATATTAAATTATATATTATATATTATATATTATATATTATGTATTATGTATTATGTATTATGTACTACCTATTCTGTATTATGTATTATGTATTATGTATTAATTATGTATTATGAATTCTATATTATGTTTTATGTCTTATGTACTATGTATGAATTTATATATTATATGTTTTATATTATGTATTCTGTATTATGTATTATGTGTTATGTATTATGTATTATGTATCATATATTTATTATGTCGTATGTACTATGTATTTTTGTATTAATATATTATACATTATACATACATATAAATATTATACATTATATATATTATACATTATATATTATTATTATATATTATATATATATATTATATATTATATATATATTATATATTATATATATTATTATATATATATATATATTATATATATTATATATTATCTGCTATACTATATATATATATATATATTATGTTAAACATTATATCATGTGTATATATATATATTATACTTATATATATTTATTATACATATATATATATATATATCATTTATATTTATATTTATATTTTCATATGGTCGTACATTATATGTTATGTGTATGTATATAAATAAGTAAAGTTAAATATGAATAAATATATAAATATAAATAAATAAATATATATATATATATATCGCATATTGTATATTATATGTCATATATTGCATATCAGATATTGTATATTGCATATTATATACTGCATATAATGCATAATATAAAGTATATAATATATAATATATACTGTATACATAATATACAATATATAAAATATATAATATTATTTATTATAATTAATTTTTTTTATTTATTATTCATTATATAGTATATTTTATATATTATGTAGTATGTATTATATATTGTTCTTTGCAAAGAAAATGGAAGTTTTTTGCTTAAAACATGTAGAAGTAGAGTTTTTCCGATGGAAACATAGAGATAATAAAGGATTTCTCATGAAAACGTGAAGACAGTAGACGTTTTCTTGTGGGAGTATGAAGAAATAGAGGTTTTCCCATTGAAAGATCGAGAAACTAGAAGGTTTTCCAACCACTACCACCACTTCTACGCATCGTGCGAACATTGTTTGCAAAAGGGGGGGGCTGCGCCCCCCCCAACCCCCCCGCTGTGTTTTTTTTAAGCTGTGCAAAGCGTGCTGCAAAGCCAAGTGGGGGGGTGTGGGGGGGGTGGGGGGGGCTGCGCCAACCCCAACCCCACCGCGTTTTTATCAAGCTGTGCCACTGCAAAGCGTGCTTTATGAATCTTGTTGAAGCCATTGGGATACTAAAAAGTTGAAGTTTTCTTAAAATACATGCAAATAGAGGTTTTCCGATGGAAACATAGAGATGATAGAGGTTTCCTATGAAAACGTGAAGAAAATAGAGGTTTGCTTGTGGGAATATGAAGAAATAGAGGTTTTCCTATTAAAAGATCGAGAAAATAGAAGGTTTTCCAACCACTACCACCACCCACTACTACCCATCGTGCGAGCATTGTGTTTGCAAATGGGGGGGGGGGCTGCGCCCCCCCCCCCCCCCCAACCCCCCCCCCCGCCCCCCCCCCAACCCCCCCGCCCCAACCCCCCCGCCCCAACCCCCCCGCCCCAACCCCCCCCCCAACCCCCCCCCCCCCCCCCCCCCCCGCTGTATTCCAAGAGGAAAATGGTTATTTTTTTTTTTGATGCTTATTTATTTTTTTTTGATCCCTTGGGGTTATTTTTTTTTTTGATGCTTATTTATTTTTTTTTTGATCCTTCACCCTTCGACCTATAAGGTTAGCTTCTTGCTTCACGTTCTCCACTATCACACCGGCAGAGGAGCAAGAGTAGGACATGAACAGGACAGTAGAGCTCCCTAAACCCTAAACCCTAAACCCTAAACCCTAAACCCTAAACCCTAAACCCTAAACCCTATGCCGGAGCAGGGCGGAAACCCTTTAAACCTGCCGCAGCGGAGGAGAGTTCATCTGCGCCATGGTGCTCTCCATGCGCCGGCGAGCAGGACACGCTGTCTGATGGCATTTCCATACCCGGATGGGCTATTCTTCCCTATAATTCCCTCAAAAGACCCTTTTTTGCTGTTCATCATGGGTATTATCCCCCAGAATCCCTTAAAAAGGCCCTTTATGGGGTTCATTATGGGTATTACAAAGGCCTAATACACTGAAAAGAGTTCATGTCTCGGCATTCAAAGCTGGTGCAGTTTTTTTCTTGTACGCTCTTGGTATATGACATCCGTAGAGAGTGCCCCTTTGCGTGACTCAGTTTCTGGGAACTCTTCAATGGGCTTCTGAGGAACTCCGCTGCCTGAGACGCTACCACGGGAGCTGGTAGCTTCCTCCAGGTCCTCCGCAGTTCTTGCGCCTCAAAGTGCATACTACTGGATTTTAGCCCAAGGTTTCTGGGCGGAATAATTAGAAGCGTGTTTCCGTTTTGGGCCGAAGGCTTCACAGGAGAACGAGCTTTCTGAGATGGTGAGTTTGTTGCTCGGTTCGAAGTTCGATGTCTTGTCAGTGTAGTTTTTCAGCCACAGGCAAGTCTCAGTGAGATTACTGCACGGAATTGGCGGTTTAGGGCAAGGACATGCAAGGGCAGCCACCCGCGCAGCTTGGGGTTAGGGTTTCGTGTTGAGGGTTGAGGGTTTGGGGTTCAACAACCAAGAAGCCCTCGAAACCCCTGCATGTGAGCACACGGGCGATTCCTCACCAAGTCCAGCTTGGCGTTGGGTTTTTTCTCAGCAAGCTCATCCGTCCAGGCCGCCCAGCATCGACCAGGAAGAGCTCCTGCGGCCACGGCCCAAGGGCTCGGAAACTTTGAGGTCAGGGTTTAGGGTTTAGGGGTTAGGGTTTAGGGGTTAGGGTTTAGGGGTTAGGGTTTAGGGTTTAGGGGTTTGGGGTTAAAGGTCCTCTGAGGGTTCGTCCTTCTTTGCCTGAGCAGGCACGGAGGGAAGTTGGGACGTGACGACAGGATTGAGGCGGCTGCGGCTGCAGCATTCTTTGTCTGTGCAGACGTTTTTTTTTCCCGAACATCACGCTGCGCGTGCTGAAGGAAAGGGCAAGCAACCTCCAGGAGAGGATACATGTCGTGGATAAAGCATGGTGCAAGCCTTCAGAAATTCAGAAACTCCAGAGCAAGCGAAGAAAGAGGAATCCAATTCTGAGCCCAGTGCAAGGGATTGACACGATTCTGATCTTTAACACCTCCATGCCAAACGAGATTGCGAGCGAGGTTACTAGAAATTGCTTGATACTAATGCCATCGAATGCCTATTTGCAACTGTTTGTAGGATGCATTAGCTCCCGAGGTACCTCGACATTTTCGGCCAGCAGGTTCAAGGCCAGCTGAAGGGCAAATCATGATTCTTGCATGTTCTTGCCTACTTGCAGCTGTAAGAAGATTGATTGTGATGTCATCCGGCTGCCATCATTCGAGTTCTTAGGGGCTCGAACCGAATCTCAGAGGATCAGAGAGTAGCTCGCCATAGTTCACATTTTGCAGCCTCCTGAGTGCGTGAGAGTCTCATGATAGGCTGTTGAGGAGTCTCACTTGTAGCCTTCGATGTCGTGTCATGTTTTCCCTGGGCCCTGCGCATGACGTACTAATGTATTGCCTCCGGATCACTGTCTGAGTCGCTAGTGCCCCCGAACCCTCAACCAAGCAGCTGCAGCGGTAGGACATGCTCAGGAGAGCGACCGAGTCACCTACAGTGCTTCAGAGCGGATCGCCATGTATCGCCTCCAAGCCCCAACGCCCACCTCCTCGAAAACCTCAAAGAAAGGCCCAAAGCATGCAAAAGCCTGTGAAGAAGCGAGGGTGTGGGATAGCTTAGCAGCTAGCGCCACTGTAACTTGAGATGCTGCAAAACAACGTCCTACTGTAAAGAACGAGCGGACAACGCATGCCCCAAATTCACGCTCTACATTCACAAGCTATAGAAATTGCCAGAAGCGCCACAGTCAACGTGATTGCAGAGTCCAGATCTTGAACTCCAAGAAACGACTCGCACCCTTTTGAAGCGTTGAGAGTCCCCTGGAAAAGGCGGCCACATGTCGGCGGATCTTGCGCGTGAGATCCTCGAGTCGCAGCACGCCCAGAAGAGTCCGAGAAGCCGAGACATTAGAACTTCAGCAACTTTAGGGTTTAGGGTTTAGGGTTTAGGGTTTAGGGTTTAGGGTTTAGGGTTTAGGACTTTTGTGGGACTTTCAGCAGCCAGGACATGCATGTGTTTGCATTGGGCTTCAAGAAAATAAGACCATCATCTGAACTGATGGCTTCTTGACAGACATACGCAGCGCCTGGTGGAGGGTCTTTATCAAGAAGGAGGCCTTGGGTTGGAGGCACTTCCCGAAACCTTGCAAGCGATCTGAAGTCAAGGCCGCCCCTGATTCACGGTTGGTTGGGGGCCATCATAACTTTAGACAGTATATACTATAACAACAAATCGATATATATATATATATATATATGTATATGTATATATGTATATAACACTTGTCGGCAAGGTGATGAAGTTTCGCAAAGTCATGGGGTTCATGTTTTTGGGGCTGAGGTCGAACCTGCCAACTACAGATCTGTCCCAGATTTGGCCACTTGGCAGCTTGCAAATGCCTGAGGGTTGAGGGTTTAGGGTTTAGGGTTTAGGGTTTAGGGTTTAGGGTTTAGGGTTTAGGGTTTAGGGTTTAGGGTTTAGGGTTTACACTATACTATGAAAGCCCCTCTGCAAAGTCTCTCGGAAATGGTTCCGCCTGAGAAACAGTGGGACGGGCAAGTATGAGGAATCATTGTGCAAGCTGAAGTTTCTTACGGCTTTTGCCGGCACCTGCAGACACATTGTCACTGAAACGTTCACCACTGTCCATGGGTCGTCGAGGATTTGCTACATCTTACTTTGAAGCCGCAGAATGCCACAGAGGAAATCGGAGAGTGAGAGCATTCACGAAACCTGGCTGGTGTCGGGCTTTGTGTCGTGGTGCCTGGAAGGAGAATCCAGAACCTATACTGCCCGAACATCCAGCCAGAAAGCCCTAAACCCTAAACCCTAAACCCCCTGCCATGTGCAGGCGCCTGTGTGCCACCAACGCATCCGGGCTGTCTGCGCCGGAGTTCGTCGCAGCGCCGCTGGGCGATGGCTTGGAGATGTTTAGGGTTTAGGGTTTAGGGTTTAGGGTTTAGGGCGCATCAGTTCCTGCATGTGCCCCTTTCCGTCACCTAAACTAACAGGTGTCAGCCGTCTCTGGCCATTCTCTGAAGGAACTTCTATACTTGGGGCAAGCATCTGTCGGAAATGCCCATTAACTTTAGTTTATGACGAAGCATTGCAAGCTCATTTTTTGACATCTTCGACTGCGTGCAGCTCGGGTCTTCATGCCGCGCTATACGAACTAGCTCACAGCTCGTGCGAACTCCGCGGTCCATGTAGCCACCCTGATGACCATGTGGGCATTTCCCAATATTGGGGTAGCCCCTTTATACCCCCAATAGAATTGAATCCCCTTGAAAGGGACCGCCCAAAAAGGGTACCCATTGTACCCATATTGTCGGAAACCCCGATAGAGTTCCCCCGATGACGATTTTTTTGTCGGCTCCTGACTCCACTGTAACTCGCCATCGAATTCAAGGATGGTGCTGGCTCGCCAGAGGAGGCCTTTACTCGCGGTTACTCCTAGACCAAGGCTAATTACTGTCAGCGGAAAATGCAAGTATACAATAATATTTTCAGAATATGCTTATATAAACACTTAGCAACATAATACTAGAAGACGATCATACTAGAATAGTAGAACACTATGAGACCATCATACCACAATCATATACGAAGAGATTATTCAAACAAGTCGCATACTACTGAATGAACAAACAAGTAAATATACATGAGTATATACATGATTACATTCTTTATATATATATATATACATGTACCTGCATATATATATATATATATATGTCATTCCAATCTGCCCAGCTTGTCCAGGCAAGGCACGCCACTTCCCTCATCACTGCCACCGCCGCTGGCTGCATCTGCATTGCGCCCAGAGCAGTCGGGGTTTAGGGTTTAGGGTTGAGGGTTCAGGGTTTAGGGTTTATAGGGTTTAGGGTTTAGGGTTTAGGGTTTAGGGTTTAGGGTTTTATGGTTTTATGGTTTTCTGGTTTTATGGTTTTATGGTTTTATGGTTTTATGGTTTCATGGTTTAGGGTTTGATGGTTTAGGGTTTCTAACGGAGGTCGGCCTCAGGCACACGGGTCAATTTGGAATCTTTCGGGATCAAGCTGGGGGATGGCTGAAGTTCGCAGGAGCGATTTTCAGGCTCAAGGCGACGTGTCTAGACGGTGTCTTTCTCAAGAAAATGGGGGGGGGGGTTCGAAGTCCCCTAGGTTGCCCTAAGCAAAGCTTCAATGCCCGAACCCCCAAGGGTCTGAGGCTGATAGCAGCGTAGAAGACGTTTAGGAGACGTAAAGCCGAACGACTGACATGTGAAGGGACACCAAGACAACGAATGTTTGGTTGGAAGCTTCGGAAGATTCTGTTGTCTTCATAAGGCTAGCCGGCTATCCTCCCCCCTGCGTACAAGCGGAACCACGATACAAATGCTTCCACAACCTTGGCATAGAGAGTTAACGACCTCACATCACGAAGGAGCCCGTTGCTGCGTCATGTGCCAACAGTGTTCCCGCGACTTTGGCCCCAGTACCTGCACCCGCCTCTGACATTACATGAGTCCAGCCCCAGGCTACAGCAGTGAGTGCTGCCCGGGGATACGTCGCTGCCTAGCCACATCATAGCCTCTCCAGGCAAGGATCAAGGCCCACTGATGCCAAAAGCTTGCGCCACCAATAGCAGAAGCCTCGGACCCACATATTGTAAAGCCAGCAGATTTCGCAGGGGCCTTGTAAAGGGCTTCAGCTTGGATACGCGTTCAGGCTCATACTGCACGGCTGAATGGCATCTAAGTAAGCGCCGAGCTTTACATAGTTGCCGAATGCATCTCCGCAACCTACCCGTGCGCATGTTTCACTTAGAGACTTAGTGTTTCGCTGTGCGTGGTCGTCTGGGCGGGTGTGGCGATCGACGGCAAATCCTCGACGTAGCCTGGCCCTGCACGACGGAAACCAGCATCAACAGAGCCAGCCGAGAGCAACAACAGGTATAGCAAGGCTCAAAAACCGCGAAACCACCAACGCCACGTCGACCAAGCCTGGCTTGCAGACACAGTCGTTACAAGTCGTCAATGTTGTGCACATGACTTCTCTCTCTCCCCCTCTCCCTCTCTCTCTCTCTCTGTCTGTCTCTTTCTGGATAGGCACAGTATAAGCTAAACAAATCGGTGGGGTTGGTAGCACCGCTGCACTGTCCAGAAGCATGGACCTATCAAAGAAGGGATCCCGTTTTCTTGATAACCCCCGTGTTTCACATCTGCGTGGAGACAGTGGAGACACGGTCCAAGGAGGAGGGGTCGGGAAAAAAGTTGCAACGATGAATCGTGGCCCGGTTCTCATCCAAGTTATCGAGAAGCACAGTTGAGGACCACATCAGACAGCCTGTACCTCAGAGATCATGAAGGTCCTACAGGGTCCTCCAATGAAGTCCTCCGCAGGCGAGATTTGCTCAACCCGAGGCTCCAACCCTGTCTCCTTGAATTGTCCATGACAAATACCCCGATACTTGCACGCCTTTTGTACATGTTATGATGCAGCTTTGCTAGAACGCTTGAGACTGCCTTTTGTCGAGGGCAGCCTTGGGGGATGGGTTGTGTGCAGCATGCGGCTTACGAGGGTTACATAAGAGCCTTGTGCCTGGCGACAAACATCGACAGACCCGCAGCGTGCCTGGATGCCATGCGGATGCCATGCGCTTGCGTGTCACTCGCGGAATTCGTGTTCCGGCCATCCAAAGATGCGGCTCCCTTGCACCACGGATTCCGGCAGATGCTTGTGGAGGTTGCACGACTTAAGGCTTCCGAGGCTTAGACTGGCAAGAGGGCAGAAGAGTCGCAGTATGTCGCAGTTCCGATCTGTTGGATTTGAGAATTTGAGACAGGTTTGAGATCCTTGAGGTGCCCATGTGGTTTCCAGAGCGATAGACACAAAGCCGGTGTGTTTCTGAAAGCTGATGTCCCGCATGACTTTAAGGTGCTGCCAGTGCAGCTGCCGTCTTGATTGCGCTTTCGGCTTGGAATCTTCGCGCAAAGTTCGTACTATAGGGGATTACATAGTCCGTACGCTCCAGTGAACCTATTGTAGGCACTTTTCTCTCATGTGCGCATGACATGGGCGGTTTCGGATTAACAGCACGTTGAATGGACATCCTTCCTAAAGGGCACATGACTGCCGTGAACGAAGCCTGGGCACTTCACAAGATCGTGGGCCATGTGCCAAGTCAGGTCATTGGCTTGGAGCAATGAAGCTGTATTCCTCACATTGTAATACGGCAGCCGGTATGGTCAGCTGCCGGAGACAAGAATCACCAGACTTTGCCTTGTCCCTGTAGCGATGATCAAAATCAGGTCTACGTATGGCCAAGAGATGCCAAGAGGAGTTGCAGCAACTCTTCCCTAGCCGCCGTAAGCAGTAGCTTCATCATAGGCTGCCGTCTGACACCGAAGCAAAGCTTAAGATGTCTGCAACGAGCAAGGTCTGGCCGACTCTTCCTAGAGATACCACATCCACGCATTCCCTTGCCACCACGTTGGAGGCCCGGACAATGACATAACATGACTACGATGAGGATAAGTAGTACCTGCTTCCTGCTTCGAAAGTCCAACCTACCAAAAGTGATGATCACCCCGCTTTGACGAGAGCGCGCGTGCACAATTTCTCTGAACGACAACCGAAGCCGAAGCCACGATTGAAAGGACTGCCGATGCTTGCGTCCCTAAACCCCGAACCCGGAACCCTCAACCGAATCAAAGCCGGTGCTACAGGTGTGAAGATTTTAGGCTGGTAAGGAAGCCCCCTGAAACTCGACATATATAGCGCCCCTGGTGGGTTTAGGGTTCAGCGTTGAGGGTGTAGCTCCCTAAACCCTAAACCCTAAACCCTAAACCCTAAACCCTAAACCCTAAACCCTAAACCCTATACCCTATACCCTAAACCCTATCAGGATGCTCTCAACAGAGAGACTTGGACCGAGAGCTTCACTTGGGCAAAGAGGGGGGCACAGAGTCGCATTAGGGTTAAGAGATTAGGGTTTAGGGTTTAGGGTTTAGGGTTTAGGGTTTAGGGGTTTAGGGGTTTAGGGGTTTAGGGGTTTAGGGGTTTAGGGGTTTAGGGGTTTAGGGGTTTAGGGTCTAGGGGTTTAGGGTTGAGGGGTTTAAGGTTTACTGTAGGGTTTGGGGTTTAATTAGGGTTTTCTTCGTGTTTGGGGCTTAGCAGGGTTTGGGTTTAAAAGGGTTTAGGGTTTAGCGCATCACATCAACTCCGTGCTGCAACATATGATAGCTGCGGGAGCGTGTCCGCGTAGAGCACCGAGATTTTTTGTCTGATTGGGTGTGCACAAGATGAGGGACACAAGGCACAAGGCTCGAAGCATAAGTGCATACGTTTGAGATGACAAGGATGCAAGAATCCATGACAAGAGGCCAGGGCCAAGATGTCAGTCGCATGGATGTCTGAGCGTTCTGGCACGCAGCCGAGGCAGTCTCTGGAAGTCTTGCATCTTCCTTCCTTGACAGCCACATCGACGTTAAATGTTGTCATCGTTCCCGGCAACCCAGGCCTGTCAGCAAGCTGACCGCTGAAGGGGATAGGCATCGTCAGTCATGGAACGCGATGCAGATGTGCGAAGGGGTATGCGAATGATTGTGTAGACAAGTGGGAGAGATTGATGTCAGCACTCTTCTCGTGTGGCAGGC